AATGTAATCTCCTATCTACTGTGCACAAAATACCACGTTCGATTCCAGTAACGTGCTTTTTAACCTTAGACACGTTATACGAATTGTTATACACTGAAAATATTTAAACGAACGTACCACAAAGGTGAAACGAGCCAATGTGCGTAAAGTAAAAGTAGGTTAGGAGAAAAAATAAATCTTCTTTACCACAGAAGCATTTGAAGCATGAAACTTTTTTACGTTCCATTACGCTAACATGCTCGTCTACATGTTTACAGAATTTTTGCACACAGAACGTACATCGACCATGAATAATTTTTCAATAAAAATATACTTATTTGCTGCACATTTGAAAATCACTTTTCCAATTAAATATTTAAAAACAGGCCGTTTACGCTGTTTTATCGCTCAACTACGTAGTTACTGTTACGATATCTCGCTTAAAAGTCAGACGAAGGACTAGGTCGTTCCAAGGTCATTCATATACGACTCTATATTCTTATTCATAACAATAAAAACAGTACGGAAGCTTTTACCGCAATTTAAGACAAACAAAAGCTGAATATGACAACGTTAAATACTAATTGTATTACTTAAAGTGAGAAATCGAAATACAGTGACTCCCAGAAATATTCGGACACCAGTGTATGGTTAGCATTATGGCTTAATGTCGTAGTTATTAAAAAAGCAATCGTCTTCGTTACTTTTTCCAATAATAAATCATTTATTAACATTATTAAAGATATATACATTAATCCAAAAATTTACATAAATTACATAATAACAATAAACAAACGAAAGAATACCGCATTTTCGGGTCAGAAAAATATTCGGACACTATGAGGAATAACATTTATTAATTAAAATTAAACATTATATGTTCCACATTAATATTTTGTTGCAAATCCCTTTTCTTTTATAATATGTCTGAATCGATTCGGCATATTAGACATTATTTTTTTGTAATATTCTGTCGAAATGGATACCCATTCTTCTTGAAGCCTAATTTTAAGTTCTTCTTTGGAACGAATGGGTGTCCTGCGAATCCGTTGGTTCAACTTATCCCATAAGTTTTCTATAGGGTTAAGGTCTGGTGATTGTGGAGGTGGATGAAGGACTTTGGGGCAATTATACAATAAAAACTCTTAGACAATGCGCGACTTATGTTTAGAATTATTATCCTGGTAAAATTTAAAATCTTCAGCAATCCCCAATTTTTCTACACTTTGTTTTAAATTGCTTTTTAAAAGATTCAAATAAGCATTCTTAATCACGATGCCATCGATAAAAACTAAATTGCCAACGCCGAAAGTCGAAATGCATCCCCACACCATTACAATGCATCCTCCGTGTTTTATCGTACCCGAAAATCTGATATTCTTTCGTTTGTTTATTGCTATTATGTAATTTATGTAAATTTTTGGATTAATGTATACATCTGTAATAACGTTAATAAATGACTTATTATTGGAAAAAGTAACGAAGACAATTGCTTTTTTAATAACTACGATATTAAGTCATAAAGCTAACCATACACTAGTGTCCGAATATTTCTGAGACTCACTGTATGTATCTTTAAACTGCTTGACAGAGAGCAAACACAGTAGAAGAAAGACATAATAGGAAATAAATGTTCTGCCAGATCATTCTTTTTCCTCTCTCTCAAGGTTGTACTGCTGAATGTATCGAAGTCGTAAGGAGTATTAAATGAAAATTACTTCGGTTTAAAACGAATTTCGTTAATTATTTCTTTGCGTTAGTTTTAAACTAATACGATATGTGAATGTGAAAAATGAATTAATGGAAAATTTTTAAGAATATTCACACTGACTAAAATTGACTATATGAAAATCAGAGATGGGCAAAACCCTTGGCTTCGAATAAATTTGAAGTTTGCCGATGTGTTTGTCTCGTTTCTTTCTCTGGAAAATGTTCAAAAGAGGAAACGAAACAAACATATCGGCAAACTTCAGATTTATTCGAAGCCTAGGGTTTTGTCCATCACTGATAAAAATTAATATCATATTCAAATAAATGGGATAGCTTTTACGCGATCAATACTGATAACGTGATAATGGTATGGAATAATAAAACAAATTAAATGACATAACATAAGATAAAGAGACCTGGCTTTCAATTTTTCATACATTTATTTTTATCTAAATCCATTAGATTCGTAATGGGCCATTCCCCCCGAAATCGATCACTTCGTATACTTTGGCTCACGGATTTTGGTAAAATTCAAAAATACATTGGAGCCCACGTGAAATTATGTGGAAGGGTGATTTAAGTAATAATTTTGATAGTTTGGAATTTATTTAAAAAAGTAATAGAAATAAAAGTTTGCAAGTTGAAATTGACCTTGAAATTTGTCTACGCATAAATGATTTATAAAAAATATTTGTAAAAATAATTATCGAAGACAATGTTTTATGTGATTTAAACATGCGACATTAATATAGATTCTGTTTAAACATGCAATATTTACATTAAATGTTTATATTCTATTTGTATTTTGTAATTTCTTTCTTTTTAAATAATCTCGTAAATCTCGCGTAAGTTTTCGACGTTTAAATTAATTAACTTTATGTAGAATGAACTAGTGTCATTGTGACTTTTTATGTCCAACCTGATATTTTAAATTTAATTCAATTAGTTTTTGATTTTAAATTGTAACACTGAACGACACGAAACGAAAAAATACGATAAACACGGGTTATATATTTCCTCTTGCTTCTCCTTCTCGCTGTCTATTTTTTTTCTCTCTTTTAAGACCTTCTTCTAGTTCCCCCTTTTACTCATCCTTCGTCCTCACCTCAATACCACAATCCTTTCTTCAAACGGCTAATATCGGACTATAACGAATCGATAACCAAGGTGATTCCTTAAAAATCAAAGGGAGTGTGAAAGCGCTTGTTCTTATCGTAATGTGCACTAGTATTGATCAAAATATTGTACATGAGCCAGATTAATAATAAATCAATAATCTTATAATTGCAGATTACAATTGCAATTCATAATTACCGATTAATCTGAAAATTGTCAATAACTATTACAAATATAATTTCAGAATAACTACTCTTTAACTTTAGTGTATGCGTTACGGTGAAAGACGTTAAATAATGGTAATTATTTAGAATCAAAGGTCACCTCTCTAATTTTAAAAAATGTTTTTCTATACATGTAACCGTTGCTTACTTTTAGTTTTCAAGATGTCAGCAAAAGTATACATAATACTACCATTATAAGTAAAACTAAACATGTATCATTTTTCATGTATAATATATACACAATAGACCACCTAGTTTTCACTATTTGTTACTATATTTAAACAAAGAAGACCTAATGGAAACGAAATATTTAAAATATATTTTTGTTTAAACTACTGCTTATTTTGAACAAAATTTGTCCTTCCTTGAGTTTATTATCAAAATCTTCTTGTTATACTTGTTAAGGGTTAAATGCAGCATTTTGATAAATAGAGGGTAAACCCACTTTGGAGAGAATCTCCAAAAAAATGCAAACAAAAATCTTTAATGGAGAAGAATGTGAATATCGAAACATTTCTTTCTGTTAATACATTAATTATCAAAATTTAATTATTCTTAAAATATATTTGTTTTGTACTGATTTTAAACCTACCACTTAACTCAGACACAGATTCTCTTTTTAAGGGGTACATCGTATAATATATTTAGAAACCACTGGCTTAATACTTGGAGTGCTATGCTTATTTTGATCATATTCTCTTCAGGTCTTAGAAGTCCACTTTTTTACTTAAAAAAGAACTGACAAAGCCCTAGCAGCACATTTTGTAATATCCAGATATGGATGACGCTGCACTCAAAGTGTTAAAATATGTTGTAAGACTAAAAAGACAATGAATCTTCTTTTAAACTGGGCCAAGAGCTCAAAAAGGTTAATCATTGGGTTACATAAAGTACTAAATGATAATAGATGGTATTTACAAAAGAAACAGCAACTAAAGGGAAATTACTATATCTACCATAAGAAAACAGAGTTACTTTTATAATTTATCTCTGGAACTAAATATTTCACTAACAGCTTGTCAAAACATAATACTTACTTATGAGTAAAAATGTTCGTAATTATGATGCTACACAACAGTACTATCAGACCTTTGCAACCAAAACCTCTTTAAATCTAACACCTTTATTAGACGAATCTTCATTCGTTTCCCATTATAAATACTCGATAACTCAAACCTATGCATATACCTATTTGACGTCTATCACTCAAGTTTATATTAATTGACTTCTACAACTCAAAATACAATTCACTGATTTCTAGTACTCTAGACACCAAACAACTCTAATTTATTTCCCTGTCCTTTATATTGTACTGCCTTATGCTAGATTTCATTTTGTCAATCCTTCTAAGCATTTAATCATATTGTTGTCAATTCTCTGATTCAGTAAAAATTACAACTGCAATTGTTTATGAAAAGTACAATCCAAATTAGAGACTTTTTTCACTAAATTCATAACAATTAGCACCGAATTTGTTTAAAAACTTCGAAAATCTTGTTCCTCTCCTTCAAAAAATCAAAATTACTGAACAATTCAATTTAGAAAATAAAAAAAAAACTACAATAACCAAAACCGTTAATTACAGTATGTCGATTTAATCGACAGTCATCGATAATAATCACCTTGGTGCAAGTGAAATGGATTCAAGCTTAAACACGATACAAAGGAAGGTGAATTTTTAACCATAATCACTTTATATAGTTGAAGCTGTATTCGATTTTGTTTTCTTCTATACAGGTAATAGTAATAGCGTAAGTCGAAATTGCTTATCAAGCCTCTGTAAGTCGAAACTTGGATAAGAAATCAGTGTAACTCGAAATACTTCTCAATTTCCCATCAACTTCAACATATCAAGATTTGACTACATCAATTTAACGAACGTGGAAAAAAGCTATTCGATCGTGGTGTTCGGAGTAATTCAGAAATATTAAAAAATATCGGTGAATATGGTTAAGAAAGCATTTGGCTTACCGCTAATGCGCCTCATGGCGGCTCACGACTCGGCTCGTATCCGAAAAACGTCGGGCTGGTCAATCCAGCAAGGTATGTAATTCTTCCTGTTCACTATAAACACCATACCACATGTAAAAACACCGATCATCACCTACGCCGTGCACACGTCGATTCTGGAACGCAACATTCCCGCGCCATTGTCCACCGACGAAACTTTTCTTGGACAAGGAAGATAACCTGGCCCTCCGACACACCGTCTTTTCCTATTACGTTAACGTGGAATGGTACAGACTACCTTCAAAGAGGAGCGACATACTGTTAATTGTGACTGCAACGATTTCCCTTTCTCCAAACAATGTGTACACTGAAAACGCGATGATTTTTGTAAGTGGATGAACGCAAACGAGAAACGACGACCGAACCAGAGTACAAAACTACTTCGTCGCGACTTCGCACGTAGCACTGTCGTGGTTAGTATCGAATGCCACCGTTAGAGTGCTCGGCCGATCGGTAACGATAAATCTCCTCCTTGTATGGATTTAGGTCTCGGAACCCAATTGGATATCGTTTTTTTTTCCAATTCGTTTCTCGGTAATTTAACCCAACGGTCTGCCAATTCTTCTAGTTTCGTTCGAAATTGTTATCATGAAGTTAACCTAAAAATCCTACTACTTGGAATGCTACATTACGCAACATTTAAAATACAAAGAGCTAACGTCATAATAGTCCAAATAAAAAAACAATGAAATATTATACTATGATTTCATATTTCATCGACAGTTTTTATTTAGTACCATAGTAGAGGAAGATGGCACTTAAATCGAAGGAGAAGAAAGAATATAAAAGAAAATTATTTTTTCTAACCACCAACTAGATGTATCGGTGCCCTGACACGCATCACTACAATTCTCAGCCCTTATACAGCATTCTCTTATAACGTACGAATGCAAAATTATTAGTTTTAATTATAGACTCCTTATCTTTTAGTAATTTATATTTTAATAGATGTAATTAATAAAGTTAATGATATCTGAGTTCAAAGAATCTTTATAAATCTTTCCGGAAACAAAATCGTCCATATAGATAAAATTACAATGCTTATACTTTTTAATGAGATATTTTTAATGAGGAAAAAATAATAATACACGCTGAAAACAAAATAAAAAGTAATTTTTCACAGGAGTTTAAGTAATGTTAAAATGTTAAAAACAAACTGAAATATCTCCTGAAGTATGGGTTTTCGTACGCAAGATGACCCGAGAAATAGATTTATATAAAAAAAATCAAATAGTTTCGATTAAAATAAGAATGCAAAATTGTACTTTTCAATTGTACCAATGCATCTGGGGAAAATAATCGTTTCATCAATCGTTTCAAAATAACGAAGAACACAATATAATATCATATAAATATTTTTCATTACGACTTCTTCCTATTTTCATTTATAACAGAGCTGTAGTCTGGCACAGTTATCAGACTCATCCTGCAACATGGAAGAGAATATAATTGCGCTCCATGAACTGGGATCTATTTATTAGAGTCGGCTGAAGAAAAATGAAACGACAAACACTTAAGGTCGAGTAGTGTACATAACGAAGATAAGAAAAACAAATGTACGGAGAGATTAGATAATACTAACTCTACCCGAAAAATACAAAATCATGACAGTTTTTTTTTTTTACAAAAATTTTGGCAAAATATCGTTTTTCGACCGTTAAAGAATCTATACAGAATCTAACGAATAAAATATTATTTTATAAAAAAAGAGAGAGCATGTGATTCCGAGGCATGAAATTGACAGTTTTAATAATAATTAATAATTAGCTATATTTATAGTTAGTCAGAAATAGAAATATTTTACTTTATTTCCTAAAACTTTGCTTCGAAGAACGAAATGAGAAGAAATGTTCCACAGTTGGCAATTGTTCTATAACTCTGTGTATTAGATAATAGGGACAACAGAATAATAGAACAAATTAACGTCAATTAACTTAGATCATAAGCTTGGGTTTATGTACGTGTTATATATACGCACATAAGTATGTACACGGAGTAGTTTCTTTATCTTGATTACCTTAGTATATCCGTTGCCTTTAGGTGCGCGAAAAAAAGTGTAATTATCGCTTTACTTTCTGAAGGGCATTTGTTACCATGATTTCAAGGTCATGAATATTTGTTTTATCACAATGCATGCACAATTTATTAATACATTAGCTACAATTATTGTTATATTAATATATAGAACTAATTTTAAATCTGTGGTCAGCGCTCCCGACGGCAAAACGACCAAGCTTGTAGAAAAACGATTCCCATTCTTTACACTAGAAGGCGCTACTAAGCAAGTTCCGTATACCGACACTACAGATATCTATTCGCATTCAAAATCTGTGGGTTTGTGATTTCCCTATAACTCTTTCTATTGTTATTCAATCCAGATAAAATTTTGTTCAGATGTTCTTTATGTTTCGATAAAAAGTATATGCTATTTAATATACGCGAATGTTAGCTGTAATTATGATTAAATAATATTAGAGCCTCTATGCTATTTAATGTACGAGAATATTAGCTGTAATTACTATTAAACAATATTAGAGTATTTATTACTCAGAGAAGATGATAAGGATACCTTTTAAAAGACAATAGAATTTTCAAAAAGAAATTCGAAGGGGAATTTTATATATGTTTTCCATATTAACGTAAACTATAGATGCGTAAAATCCACAATGTAGCGAAGAGACTAATAATTAATATTTTTGGGACATGGAGCAATATTATTCATTTTGTCCTGGATCTACTAAATACAAGTTGAACATATCGGTAAGGTTTATCTAACAAATATCCTGCCTTACCCGTGGCGTAATTAATCATTTGAACAGTTTCCAATTTATCGATAGTTTGTTAGAACACAATTAGTTTGTACAGACTGTTCAAACGACAGGTAGTGTCACATCTATAACAAGAACAGAATTAATGATCTATAATCGATGAATATTTATCCATATTCATATTTGTTCAAACACATATACAAAATTTTGAATAAAACTATGGCTTCTCTTCTAAATGTTGTGACGTATGCTTTGTTTTAGATGTTTTTTTCAGTTGTGCATATCCTTGAACATTTTTGTATATTTACAATTTTTCGTAAATGCATAAACATCCGCAGTCTAGCGATGAATCTAGCTATTTACCTGGATCTAGGAGAAAATGCAGTGGCATTGATCATTATACTAGGAATGTTACTTACTATTACTAAGTCACAAATTAAATATTATTAAAGTGTCTCGGACGGAATATTGCGCATTTCGAAACCTTCATTTATTAACTGATAATCGCATTGAAACACAATTTCAAACATAATGATCTATGGTCTGCTGTCATTATTCAGCCATTATTGCATTCCTCCGCAACACCATACTGGTTCTTTGAATGCAAAAAAAAGAAGTATGTACGTACATCCATGTCTATGTCATCATTATTGTTGAATCATTCCCCGTTCAAAAAATGCATCATTGCTAGGGAAACGTGTTTCAAAGCCTGAACTATACATACACTGCGTGTGTCATAGTTTTAACCCTCAAATTACATGGATATTATTTTATCTTTCGAAACAAAATTATTTAGGTAATTTTTTAGATAATTAAATATTCACAAATTAATTAATATTGAATTTTAATAATATTCTTATTTAAAGAATTATTTCTATCGCGTGACTAAAATGCGCATTACTTTCAAGGACACCTAATTTTTAATAGAACACATAAATTTCTTGATTATCGTTAGCGTTTAATTTGAGGCATCTATAAGTGTGAATGTTAGTATATTATACGAATAATAGATAACGAATAAATCAAATGACATAAACAATTAATTTGTCATTTCTTCATTGTGAAATATTTCATTATATACAATAAATTAAATTCTAATTTCAATTTGACAAGTAATGGATAGATAATTGTTTATGTTCTATTCGTTATTCGATATTTTTATCTAGTTATGAATTTTCCTCATGTCTGGTGTGAGGCCACGCTTCCTCCCCCTATGATAAGGCTAGATCATATTAACACAGATCATGTTTTAACTGCGATAACTAAATATTATGTTTCTAATTATATCGACTTATTATATTATATTAAACATACATGTATAATAATTCTATGCATTAATAATTTTTGCAAAATTTTTAACTTTGGGAGAAAAATCTCTCGACGAGCACGGCATGTCATCAGAGGTTAAAGTCTAATAACGTTTACGATTTTTAAAATCTCGTAAGAATATATTCAGGATAATTTCTTTCGAAGGTCGAACGTTTAATAAAATGCGAGAAGGAAAGATGATTTCATGTCTGAAACGAAGAGAGTTCACCGTTAGTATTTTTACGCTGTTTCCGGTGACTGAATAGAAGGAACGCCACGTGCTTCAGAACAAGGTCTCGTTGCGGATACATATAGAGCCAAGAAGTTAATGAGCGGTCGACGTATACTATTGTAATGTCAGCCAAGTACATACTACGGTAAGCCTTACCACTATGAAGTCTGTGTGATAAGGGTGACGCTCTAGAGGGTTACCATAGCAACAGACTGTAGGCTTTTCCAATGTCTCCCCTTCTGGCAGCATTAGCCCTTGTAGTTCTCCCTCTCTTTGTGTCCCTGTCGTTTTCGTTTCTTCTCTCCCCCCCCCCCCTCCTCCCCGCCCCTCCCGTCCCACCCGCTGGTGCACCTCATTCTGTGTGTATCTTTCATGGCTCTCGACAATGTTCACTCACCACTATGCAAGTTCCGCTGATTTCTGTTGAAAGACCGATTCTTGCTTGATACGGAGCACTCATCTGAATACGTCTTTCACAGGGAGAAGCAAATTATATCGCTGGCAACATACGCGCGTGTTCCACGATCTCGCTGTCGTTTTCTTCTTCATTTACTCTCACTTTCGAAACCAGATTTACACTCCCGTAACGAATCCACATAAAAGTATTGTTACGCGAAATCTACCCTTAACAACGTCGGGTTTCGCTTTATACGAGGAAACCGTTGAATGGCGATTCAGGTACTAAAAATTATCTACAGCAAACTAGTTTCTACATAAGAAAGAAAAAAAAGAGAAATGGAGAGACCTCGCCTACGCCAATGTGTATGCACACGAGTTCACAACTCGCCTCTCCTTTCTTTTTTCTACGTACCTCTCTTTCTAACTCTTTCTCTCTTACTTTTTTCTACTATTACTTTAAACGTTCAAAATACCCTTAAAATGCTCAAAACGCCCTTTCCTTATTTTTTTTTTTCTTAAATTACGGATTCTCTTTATCTCATTTATTGCACTACATGGATCTTTCATGTATATCTTTGCTTCTTTTTCTCTTATTGTTAGTCAATTTTGCAAGTGACAGATCCGTCAATTTGTATAGTTAGGCTCGTATTTTGAAAACACCTATTTCCAATCGGACACACAAGAGGGAGGAGGGACTACAAAGACTATCCCTCATCCCTCTCACTAACAAAAAAAATCTATTAATTACCTAAATGTTAGTTGCGTCAAGCAATTTCTATAATCTCGGACAAAGGTTTAACAATAAAATCATAATTCCGAATTCATTTTTATTATTTCGAAAGATGGGACTTTTGAATTTTCAAAATCTCGAATTTTTGTATGATTTTTTGTTAACCTTCCGACGCTACCCTTTAAGAAATTTTCTAGATCCGTCACTGTCTATTGCACTTTCTCACGATTCAAATGGGATAAACATGTAAATTGCTAAACATATCGAAAATTGTTATAGTTATCACGTATTAATATTTGCAGAAAAATCTTATATTTAATAGTCGATCCGAAATATTTGCAGATCTGCATCTATTTCTTTGTAATTGAGCCTGTATGTTAACATACAATAGTTTTGATGTCGACAAGATACATGTATTAATATATTCTTTTTATTTCTTAAGTAATTAAATGTATCATATAGTAAATTATTACATTTTTATATTGGATGAAGACAGTATACTTTCTAATAATATTGCCGAGTACAGTACAATGTTTGTTTAGTTTTTTGCATTAATATGCATTAATTAAAACGTGAATCGTCAAGGAAATCTATTTTCATAATGAAACAAACCACTTAAGATACTTTACGCAGTATCAAATTTAACTTATTAAAAAAATTTATAATTCCAAAAATCTCCGTTTCTGTTGGCAATACAAAAGTCTGCTTGAAAAAGAAATTGTTTAGTTTCTAAAGATATTATTATACATTACAGAATTATTTATAATTATTGTTATATTTTTCAAAATTTATATAACATTTTCATAATAGAGAGTATTTGAAAATCATGTTATTGACCGACCGTTGAATTTAACTCAATACCAATTAAAATAAATTTCGGAAAATATGATCTCGAAAATAAAAAATAAGGAAGGTGAAACGGAATTTTTTGGAATTACAACATTAGAAATTTCATTTTATATATTAACGCACATGATCTGGTTATTAAATCATGCCCAATTTTTAAACATACAATTTACATGCAATGATTAACTATTTATGTAGTTATTAGGAAGCGTCTAAAATAACAATGATAGCACTGCTAAAATTATAAGTAAAACTTATTATAAAATAGAAATGATAATTATTGTATCTCGTTATAGCATAAATTTATTGAATCGTGTAAATAAAATATATAAATAAAAATAACAATTAATGTATAGTAAAATAATAATAATACATGGTACGTTAATATTTTTAGAAGATAACGTACCATGTTTAGAATTTTATTAACATTAAGAATTATATTCTGATCTAACAGATTAGTCTATAATATCAGCAGACTAACTAATGTTTAACAAACTGCGACCGAGAAGAGCAGAAAAAAATATTAGAATAAATGTATCTCTATATACGTAAGTTTCTTTTTAGTGTATATAAAACGATTCAGTGATGTAATAAATAAAGAACAAAAGTAGAAAATGGAAATTAAATTTTATATGAAATGATTCTTTTCATTTTATTCTATCTGTTACCACTGCACAATGATAACTAATAACCTCAGTTTGAGATCTGATATAAACAGTCCACTATGTTCATAGAATGAATCTTGTTGTATGTTTACTTACTTCATATTTACAAAACTGGAATGATAAATCAGTACAGTAAAAAATATAAGGAAGCTTCATGCATGCGATACTCATAAACCAATTTTCTTTTTTAAAAAAAAGTTATGATACATTCAACTATACAGATACAAAGCAACTAATAAAAAAAAAATCAAAACATATTTGAAAAATATCACTTTGGTCACTAGGAATTTATCGTGATCTGCACAACACTCATCTGCTTAAATAAAACCTTATAATTAAAAATCACAACATAATGACTTATAAAATAACAATAATAATTGCGAATCAAGCATGTTTCACAGAAAAACAATAATAGTAAAATTTACAAAGTAATCATTTTAAAATCAAACTTATCAGATACAAATATACATCGAATTAATTTGCTTGCTATAAAATTTTAATTTTGAAAGTTTCATGGATAAGAATAGATTGCCTATACTTTAAAGCTTAAGAGCTATTGTCATAATTTAATTTGATTATTCAAATTTTGGATACTGGAAGTAAGTCGCTATACATTCGTAAATTGTGTACACCGGTTTCATCGTGATATGGAGGCATTTACGTACAATATCATATACTATATGTTATACATTCACATAATAACAGAGAAAGAGAAAGTCATATACCATGTCATACAGAGTAAATGCTACCGCTTCTTCTTCATGCCTTTGCGATATCCTTTGCCTAACCATCCAGGATTTTTAGGAGGTGCTATCGGAGAATCTGCATGAATTACTAATGTCTTTGTATCTTCTATCTGTTTGCTTTCAGCTCCTATTAAGGAAACATCCGTGTCTCGTTGATAATAAAGGCAAGTGAGCGAACCTTCATTTTCCATGCAAAAAGTACAAGCTGGCTTGGGTTTTGGCGTTTCCATGGTCATATTTGGTATTTGTATAAATGGATAATAGAAAAGTGGTGTTAATTGAGGGCACATGTACATTGGTGGAAATGGCAAACCCATGGACAAGAATGGTAATGCAGTAAAAAATGGCGCTGGATAAGTGGACACTGATTCAGTTATTTTTTTGGGTGAGATGCAATCTTCTTCCTCTTTCGTTTGGGGTGTAATATCTTCACAAAAGTTATCACTGATTTTACTTAACTCCTTGTGAGTAATATTACATGGCTCTTCTAGACAAGGTTGACTTGTTGTACACTGTTCATTATTTCCAAGTTGTACTGCATGAAAAAATATTGGATCCTTAGCACGATTATATTGTGGTATTTCCAACCCGAGATGAGTCATAACCCTTTTCATAACATCGTCACATTTTCCATTTACTTTTAAGACTGCATTTTCATCTTTTGGAGTCCACTGCAAATTTACAATATATAGTGATGGACGTTTGTGAATCGGCCTGTCCATTTGCCACAACCATGGATATTTCTTCAAAACTTTTAAACTAGAACCCAAACATAATATAACGTCTGCCTGTTTTGCTGCTCTTGTTGCACCATTCCAATTAATTGGCCATGGAAGATTGCCTCTTTCACCAAAATGAACAATTGAATCTTGCAAGACAGAGTTACATCTGTGACATAATCTACCAGTGCCATGAGAATACCGAGCTGTTTTTTCTGTAACATCAAATAATCTCCAATATTCTCTAAATGGTTTACATGTTCTACAAACTTCCACATACATGTTCCCATGAACTTCGGATAAAAATGTGCGAGGTATCCCACTGCGTAAATGAAGTCCATCACAATTCTGGGAAACTACATGCTTTAAAACCCGTGCCTTATATAAGGCATAAAGAGCCATATGCGTTGTTGTTGGTTCTGCTTGACTTAGATCATGATTTCTGGAAATATACAGCAAATGAATTTAAAATGCTATCAATAATAATACCAGCAATAACAATGACAAATAAGCCATTTATGATTATAAACAATTTCAACATTACCCAATGTCTTTTCCTTGTTGTAAACGAGTCCAAACACCATTTGTTCCTCTATAATCTGGGATAGAAGCAGCTGTACTGATGCCTGCACCAGTATAAACAGCGAGAGATGTTGCTCTGCTTATTGCTGCAGCTAATCGCATGCATTTTTCTTCTAAAATTTCTGGTGCATCTTCTACTTCTTCTAATCTTGCTTTCACCCTGTGTCTTTTCTCTTGCCTGACAAATCAATTAATAAAATTTTTATCATTACTTAATAAGAAATTTATTGCTAAAACCTACATCCACAATTTGTGATAATGATTAAAGTTAGTAATCGACACTTTGTACGATGATAGTAAGGCTTAAAATAAATTGAAATGCTCATAAATGTACAATCAATGGTTTTCAAAATGGCTATACCTTAAATTAACCTCTTTCACGACGTCACTGCACGAAAGAAGAATCTCCGTTTCCTCTGCAGTTCTGGCGGTTTCAGTTTTTTGTAAAATCGCAGTTACCTTGAAAAGACAAACGATGTAGTGTTGCCGTAAGAGTTGTTTACAACATATCAATTTCAGGAATAATGCCGGGAAATATGCAAAAACTTTGAATAAAGATTGCTACAAAATAATTGCATTTAATTAGAACATATTAAAAATTACGTACGTACTTTCTTAAAAGTTGCTACTCGTTCATCTTTAACTTTAAAAGCTTTAAGGGCAGCAGAACGCCTTCTTGATAGGAACTTCTCGTTGCCAGTCTCCTCCATGTTTAATCAAGTCGACTAACACACAGTATCACATAGCATCATGTAAGTGTTACTAAACGATATAAATGTCACAAGCATATCGTATTTTATTACATATTCCCTTCAATCATAAATGAAAGTACGTAGAAAATAGGTGGACTAATTAGTATAACTTTTTTAGATTAAATATGACTTTTTGTAAGGCACAAGATAGTAGATCTATAAGTAGTTTTTTTTAATAGTAAATTGTAGATTACAATAATATCAGTACACAATTTAATTTTTATTAATTAATATAACGAAAAATGAATAATAAATCATCAACCATCAATATTGTTTGAATATCTATTATAGTAATAATGATGTTTTTTTATTTTAAATTAATGTCCAATAATTTGTTAACAATTTGAATAAGTTATATTTTGAATGTATTGTTCATTAGACTTTATACAAAAATAATATCAATGGACAAAAGGTATTGTATAGATTTCTATTCTCCTTTTTTATATATAAAAACTCATAAAGTACCATCGTGAAAGTAAAGTGAATATTCAGTTCCTGCACAGTTCCTGTTAAAAATAGAAATTTTCACACGCAAACAAATTAATTAAAGAGTATTACATTTATAATTATAACAATAATGGTTCGTATATTACAAATAAATACGTAGCAAAATATTTTCTAAACACGTTCCCGCCATTTAGAAGTTTAAACATTATCTATATGTTCTATTGTAGAGTGTATCGACGACAACTCTGGACAAAATAGTGATTGTATTTTCTACAGATTTTATTTGTTGACGATGAAAATTTCAAGTTTATGGTTTCTATTTCAAACTTGATAATTCAAATGGGAAAGCATTAGTACAAATGATTTGAAAATTAGTCATGCCAGGTTTAGAAGAAAGTATTTCACACGACACCAGTCCACCCACAGAGAGCCTAATGTCCGATGGAATTATATCCGAGCAAGTGAAAAAATTTTTGTTCACATCTCGTAAGACCCAGGATAACGTGCAGTGTAACGATACCTTAGAGATTTATATTCCAGAGGTAATACAATCTTTATTTATATTTTATATTAATGGACAGTGGTTAATTCTACTTTCATTCGTACTACCGGTGTTACGCAGTGTTTGGTTATGTACTTTTTTCAAAACATTTTTCATATAAGTAATTTACATTTATTAAATAAAAGAAAAGAATATTTTATATCCTCGATTGAACATTTTTTGCTACTATACAGAGGTTTTGAATTTCAACTTCTAGAAAGAAATGCAATTGTTTTTCATAATGCATTTTTAATTGCAGTTACTTCAAGCTAGTTATAGTTTTTATACTTGGCCATCTGCACCTGTATTAGCTTGGTTTCTTTGGGAACACAAAGAAGAACTTGTTGGAAAAAGAGTTTTAGAACTTGGATCGGGTACAGCTCTTCCTGGGATTTTAGCTAGTAAATGTGGTGCCATTGTAACTTTAAGCGATTCTGCTAGTCTTCCTCGAAGTCTACAACATATAAGAAGAAGTTGCGAATTAAATGGTGTTTTGTCTCAAGTTCAAATTGTCGGTATTACATGGGGATTATTTTTGTCTAGTTTATTTACCATTGGTCCGTTGGATTTAATTCTTGGATCTGATTGTTTCTACGAACCAACAGTATTTGAGGACATAGTTGTTACAATAGCTTTCTTATTGGAGAGAAATCCGAATGCAAAATTTCTTTGTACGTATCAGGAACGAAGCGCAGATTGGTCCATAGAACATCTGTTAAATAAATGGAATCTCACTTGCACTCATATATCGTTGGCTGGACTTGGCAGTGATTCTGACATAAACATATATGATTTAATGCAAGATCATACTATTCATTTATTAAGTATACAACGTGCAACTTGAATAGGTTCAAATTGTCATGGGTTCTGGATATTTAATCTATGTACGTAATATTCCTTGGACTGTTTCTCATTTTGATCTTAAGAAATATTTTTCAATGTTTGGTAATGTGACAAAAGCAAAAGTCATATTTAACAATAATGGTATCAGCACAGGATGTGGAGTTGTAGAATTCAAAGATATAATTACAGTAAACAACGTACTTAGTAAAACTCATATTTTGGAAAGCAACAAACTGTTTGTTATAAAAAGTTCCATTAATCGATACTCAGAGTAAGGTAAAAAAAACCTTCACAATGTGTCTTGAAGAAACATTCAATAAAGCTGCAAGTTATTTACAAACATTGGCATCAGAATTAAATACAAATGAACTCCTTAGATTCTATGCTTTATACAAGCAGGCTACAGTTGGACCTTGTAACGTTCCAAAGCCTACTTGGTATCAAGTGCAAGCTAGACAAAAATGGGAAGCATGGAAAAATCTTAATGATATGAGTCATGACGATGCTATGAATAATTATATACTAGAGTTAACCAACATAAGTCCTACCTGGGAAGAAGATGCAAAGTCTGAAACACATGGTTGGGTTGCTATTAGTCGTTTAATAAACACAGAAGAAGAAATAAATGATATTGACAAAACCTTGTTGGATTGGATAAAAGAAGGTCATGAAGAAAAAGTGCAAGAATTGTTGGACAAAGAAGCAAAACTTGTAAATGTAACAGATACAGAAGGTTTATTACCGATACATTGGGCTGCGGATCGTGGTTATGCAAAAATCATAGAACTCTTAATTAAGAAAGGAGCAGATGTAAATTCACAAGATGCAGATGGACAAACCCCATTACATTATGCAGCATCGTGCGGGCATATCGATGTTGTAAAATATTTACTTTCTAATGGAGCTCTATCTATAAAAGATAATGATGGTATGAAACCCGAAAATGTTGCTGATGTTAGTACACTAACATATTTACTCAGTATGTAATAGTACTAGCTAAATTTATTTGTGTATATTAATAAATTGAATTGACAATTTTTTAATGGAATTTATGGTATGTATTTTATTAAAACTTCATTGTTTTTATAAATTCTTTATTTATATACAAATAGATTTTCCAACAGTTTTCATTACATTCACAGCCTAAGCACTCCTTAGGTAAATGCGCAACTTGTCACAAAGTTAATTTAAAAAATCTTTACATATCAGAGTTGTTACCTATTACAAGATATAAATACTATCTGTTTAATGTAACTGAATGCATGGAGAATGCTGTATTTTTTTTACAAATATTTTCAAGTTAACAAATGCAAGATGTAAAATATTTAACTTTCCCATAATAACAAGAAATATTTATGAATGCATTTAAATTACTATTAAAAATAAAACAAAGAAAGTAATAAATACTTCTCGTATTTGTTATTTGCTTACTATAAGGAACTACTTATAAATATATGGTAGCTGCAACAAAATATACCATAACAAAGAGAAATTATAAGAAAAAAACTTGTTTCTGGTGTTTTTTAATGTTTAGCCAGCTTATGTGCTTGGTGATTTGAATATTGTCTACTAAATCTACTTAATGAATTTTTCAATAAAATAAAACAAATATTTTTCAAATAATTTCATAATAATTCAATGCAATATATTATAAAGAGTTGCAAATTATTTAAAAAATTAAAAAATACAGTTTAAAAAAATATGATAAAAAGTCAATCAGCTAATAATTTTAAAGGAATTAATATAGTGTCCAATTGAGTTCTCAATGGCATAGTGCAATTGGAATTTTAGGAAATATTTATAAGTAAAAGTTATAAATTTTATAAAGTAATCTATATATCCTCCCAAAAATACATTTACATTTTATATATTTATTTCCCATAAAAAAATTGTACTATGCTATTGCTTAATGAAATTTATGTTTATTATAATTAATGGAAATAATTAAGCGTTTCAAAATTTGTTTTCAATTTAATAATGTATAACATTGCATATATAATTCTGATATTAAAAGAGTTTTGTTTTTTATTCACCACAATTAGTGGTGATAGTGATATTGATAAAATATATGAATCTGTACATATTCGATTCATATCACCAAGCAATTAGCCATAAGCGTCTATTTAAGTTAGGCGACATTTCCCTTAATAGTACAATTTATTTGAATTGGTCATATATAATATATATGTATATATATATATATATATATATATATGGACAATTTCATTTTACATATACAGAATAAAATAAAGATTTGTAACATAAACAAGAATATAAATCTTTTCATTTTCAAATAAAATGTTCACCATGTAAATCATTGTAGCATATTATTTACCATCTATGTCTGCAATTGAAAAACATTATTTTTTACACTTTACTTCTATCTAAATATTTGAAAATTATTTAATATGTAATATAACTAAATAGAAGCTGTAAATAATATATTTTGTATAAATATTAGGAGTTTTTAATTTATGTGGTTATTTAGCAGATTTCTGGTATTTTAAAAAGGTGATATAATTTACCTAGATGGTAAATAATGTGTTATAAAAATACATAATCGCTGTTTATAGTTGTTACACGAAGTAGGTGTATTCTTGATGTTCTTAAATACTAATAATTATTTAACGCAAAAACAAATCAGACGCATGTTTATTATACACCTTCTTAATGAAAGAATATTATGTTACTCAATAACAGAAATTAGTTAAATTATCTTTGTCAAAATTATGAGTAATAAGATAATTTTGTTTAATCCATTGCTTCACTGACGTAGTAATATCTGAGAAGTTAAACTTTTCTTCAGTTACATCCACGTACATATAAAATGTCTGCTAAATCGTAATATAAACATCAAACAAGTGATTTCACTTGGAGAAGGTTATAAATGTAGAATACATTTTGATATAAAATATTCGAGTTATCGTACATTATGATATACAATGTACATTGTTTTGATCTACAAATTGTTATCAAAAGATATTTCATTATTAACTTAAAGGATTGGAACTAAGCGTATCACTATGCTCGTACCTAACATCAACTAAATTTTATATTTGAAGTCGTATTAAAACGACTTTTTTAATAAATATAATAAAAATAGAATCATCTTTCTTTTTTATTATTGAATCTTCATATTGTTATTATTTAAATAAATATATACAAATGACGCGTTTAGGTGAACTAATTTTATGAACAAAATCATGCGTCTTAAACTACAAAACCAATTAAAAAATTTATAATACATCTTTTTCGTTTTTTTTAAGAGTAATTTTCTCATCGGTTACATTACGATTTAGCGGAAATTTTGTATGTACAAATAAATTCGTATCATAAATAAATAAAACGAATACATTAAAGTCAATGTCAAATTAAATATTTGTTATTTTGCAAACTTAAACGTTATGTCAAACTAGAGATCAAAATGCCAAATTAGTGTCTTATTTTTATAATACTTTTTTAATCATTATTGTAACAGGTATAAAAATTGGTAAGTTGCAAAAATATCAGAGTTAAATATGAAACTTAGGCATAACTTCTTAAGTTATTTTTAATATACAACTAACTGCGCCCCACTGTTTCACCCGTGTGAAATACTATTCTTATTCTATGTCGTTCGCGTACGACTCGCAAGGGATGTTCGGCAATTCACACGCCTAAAAATTTAAATTTTTTACAGAAATATAATTCATGAGGACCTAACCATAGTGTTATATTTTACAGTTAAATATATCATATTTAAGCAATAAAACGGATTTTAACAATACAAATGGACATAATAACACGTGTAATGAAATTTAAGTTTAATAACTGTTAAAGGCTAAAAGAAAGGTTTGTCACGTGTGTCGATGCTGGTTGAAATTATGTTGTTTCATAGCATTTATGTGTCTGCATTCGATAATGTTGAGTAATCGAATACCGAATTCTATAGTCACGATGATTGGTTGTGTAGGATGAAGATGTTTTAAAAAATTAAATAAATATCAGTATCAATATTATAGAGTTCATTTAAAGCATAGATGTAATAAAGTTTCAAAGAAAAGTATAATTTACTCATTTTTTTAATTTATGTTTATGCCGTAATTATAAGTGTAATATGGATTATTTTTAAATTGAGTTATAATGAAGAAAGTTCTATTGAAAATATTGTTAAGGTCCTTCTAGACGGTCATATCTGTTCTCAGTTCAGTTTCAGTTTTCATTATCGTTTCATCTCCGTTTCAGTTTTTCTTTCTTTTACGCATAGGAAAAACTGACAGTTCCATTGAAACTGAAACTGAACTGAGAACAGATGTGACTGTCTAAAAGGACCTTTATTTTATCATTCTTGTTCAATTGATTGTTCATCCACGTGTTCGTCCATGAATTGGTAGTTGAGTCTATTTCGTTTTCCGTAGCCAAGATGTTTCAATTGATACTTCGTGTTGCCACAACTTTTACAAATATTGCGATTTGTAATTGAACATTTATTTTTATCAAAATAAAATATAGCCTATGTTACTCAGGGATATCGTAGAAAACATTTTAAGAATCGGTTCAGTAGTTCCAGAAATTACTCGCTACATATAAACTATCTTTCTTTTTTATAATATTGGTATAGATTACAAATGCTTACAAATGTTTAATATTAACACTTTAAATCCATTTGTTGTTTTTGCTGTTTGTTACTAGTGTATTGGAAACGTAAAATACTTTTTATAAAATCTTTGAAGATGAATTAAAAACTTTATATATGCTGTAATTACGCTGTAAATTATTTGATAATTTCAAGCATCAGAACCTCTATTATTTGTCATAGAAGCAACGTTTCGACCGTTGTTTTATTATAAACAACGATTAATACTAAAGCTTCGTCGCTCGAGATTACTAAATAATTTAACATTGTATTTTTAATTATTTCCTATACGTACCATAGTAAACAAAAACAAAAAATTACTAAGTTATTTTGTATAATTACGATATCAATTTGAATGCAATTCTCTAAATATCAAAACATTGATACTTGAACGTATATTGAACTGAGAAAATCTACAAAACTTACATTGCTCAGTTAGAAGTTCTTTGTAGTCATTTTCCGCAATGCCAAATTATCTTGTAAGAAATAGTGCCTTCGTTTTAAAAAATATTCGTGATTCTTTAAAAGTTCACTTATGAATGTAATAATCACATTTTATACAGTTGATCTCAAAGATTGGTACTTTCATGTTCCGATTTAACTCGCGTAGTAGGCGGAGGTGGTGGTGGTGGTTGTGGCCTTGGAGGTCTCTGATGAAACCTTGGAGAAGCCGGAACGGGTTGTTGTGGTGATTTAACTACTACTGTTTCAGTCTGTGTTTGAACATCGATAATATTTCCTTCCGATCTGGTTCGCACGTGAGCTTTTGTTTGTTCTGGAGCATTTAGTTTTGCCGGCTTTTCTGGCCGTTCACCGTACAAGGACATAGATGAAGGTCGACTACCTACACTGGGGCTTCTCTGCAAGTTCGAAGCTGTGTTGCCATTGTTGTCGCCCGATGAGCAGAACACATTGCCATTCCCACGCACTTGTATTATACTGACCTGTTGTTTGTCCACCGAATATACATGAGCTCTTTCCAAAGTTAAAGGCTACAGGTTATTAAAAAAAAAAAAAATTAACAATTCTGAAAGCTACCGTGGATTTTCACATTTCGAATAAAAGTAATTGTTAATACGCTTGTTTTTCACTTTATTTGTAGCTTACGTTATTGTATTTCAAAATGTAATATCCAGGCAGTGATATTTGTTGAGTCCACTGGCAGTACTACATTTATTTTAAAGGGTTATCTCACATATAAAATCGAAATTGAATATTGCTTTAAAAGTTTTGATACTCACCCCTGCTTCGGTATCTAAGTTTTCATTACTGTGACGCGGATGTTGTCTGATAAGACTTGAAGGTCGAACTAATCCAGCAGGTCGTTCCGGTATGGCTGGTTTACTAGTTCTGTCGAGTGTGCTTATAGTTGTAGAATTACTCCCATCTGCCTTTCTACGTAACTCAACTGTTTCATCTAATATGTTAAAGGAATATAAAAACTCAAATACTATTTTTATTAATAAATAATTATGATAATGTTTACCAGTGTTATGCAGCACATTGGTTATACTTCTTGGAGCAGCCACCGGTCTTCGTCGTTCTAATGTAGAAGGATGTGGTTTTTCCGTAGGTATTGGTTTTGGTCTGTGTACAGAAGCTTCAGAATTTTCAGTCTCTGTAATCAATTTGTTGCATAGTGCATTTTCTACAGTGGTTTTTTCAACAGTAACAGAAGTATTTAATTTTTGTTCATGTTTTTGCGGTTCTTGATTACTCTTTTCTAGTTCTGTGTCCGTATGATGTACTTCATCTTGTACTTCATTAATACGTTCTGAGCAGCTAATAGATGGAGAATCCGTAATTATATTTATTTCACAGTTTTGTTGTTTGATTTCGATCTCCGTATTTCCGTCTTGCTTTTCGATATTATTTTCGTGTTTAACTGGTAATTCGGTATTCACGTCATGTTTTTGAGCTTTATACGTTACACGATTAAGGGTTGCAGATGTCAAAGGCCTGGGTGGTTTGTCAGGAGTCGGTGGTGGCTTATCATCAGGTTTTCTATCATGTTTGTCTGGTGTAGTACTATTTGGTGGTGTTGGAGCTGGTTTATTTTTTCTACGAGCTGCAGGTTTAGGACTACCCTGTGGAGGACTCTCACCGTGGTCACTAAGACTGCTATTAGAAATGCAACGGCGCATACCTGCAGTTTGATTTTCTAAACCGTTTATAATACCGACTTCTAAATCACGATCAAAATCTATTTCACCAGGAAAAAACCAATTTGCGTATGTAATCAACTGATCTACTATAAGACTAGAATTGTTAGCTGTGCTCATATTCATTCTGAAAAAATAACATATATATACACATATATATTATCATATATGTTGTTTCATTATAAAGAATTAGAAATTGAGTGCACATAAGCAATTAATCTCTTTTGTGATTGTTGTTAAAAAAAGAACATGTTCTTACACCATTGTGTTTATATCCTCCTGCGGACTCCATATTAAATTAGGCGCAATAACAATTGCAATATTTTGCGGTGACATTTTATTTATATCTTGATTTTTTGTGAGTACAGCTAAAAATTTGATTAGGAACCGTAAATTTTCTAAATTTGCAGGAGGCAATTTATGTAACACTTCCCAAAGAGCTCTCAATCTTGCTTCATTTTGTGTTATCTTTGCAGCTGTCATCCATTCAGAATACAATCTTTAAAATAATACATTTGGATATAGATTTATCTTCCTTCATTTTATTGGTAATAATAGAAAGAAAAAAACTATTAAGCATGTGTTTACTTGTATGTTAGAAGAGGCTCGGGAAGTTCTCGTAAATAAGATTTCAATGCACCAGCAATTACGTGTGGATCCTTATATTCCAGAGCGGTTGGCAATGTAAGGCAACAAGCATCAAGACTTAATTTAATTCGTCGTGATTTTGATGCAGCACCAGCTATTCTAAAAAGACCTTCTTCCTCCATACCTAATCGTAATAAAGCAGATACACATAATTGAATAGGTAATGCTATTTTTCTATTAGTTACTCTGAGATGCTCTTCAAGTGGATGACCATAGACTGGTTTCATTTCATTATCATCTGCAATTATAAAATGAACTTTAGTAAAAAAATCCCAAAAATTGCATTAGAGTATAATGCTTTCTGTGGGAAAAATTTTGGATTAAGAGTGAGTTAACATGTATGTATATACACATGTGTATGCTATTTCTGATTTCGTTTTTATTACATATTCGAGATGATTAGTTGAGGTTTATGCATAAAGCATCAGTGAGGCTAAAATTAATGCAAAAATAAAAGGTAGAAATTACTCACTTATGTAACATTCAAGTCTAGGAATAAGTTCTTCAAGACAATGTAGTGCACTTTCATGGTAAGCTCTTTGAAGTTTTACATATTGGATAATAATGTGAGCCAACTCCGTTTCTCTCGACATAAGTTGAAACATTTCTGCAGCTAACTGATCTCTACATTGTTCAACTTTAGATTCAGTCTCTTCTAATTCTTCTCTTAAGCTATCTATTTTTGCTGCGCCTGTACCTTTTGAATTAAAATATTACTTAGAAAATATTAACATAATTCTTTGAATACACAGTTCATATATGTAACATTAAATATTTCCATTACTGGCACTATGTTTGCTGGCTTGTTGGTATCGTGTCCTCACGCTATCCATATCCAAGATTAACCGAGCTAAATTCCTTTTGTGCTTTAATATATTTGGTACATCTGTATCTAAAATATGTTGAAGAGGACTTGCTACATATTGTTCAACTTTTGCTTCATGTTCAATTATTTCATCTGCTAAATGTATTTGTGCATGACCACATTCCATAAGGGTAAAACCCACGAGACCATCTTCAGGAGCATTTTCTAACATTGTTTGCCCTAATATATATTCTGGACATTTTTTCTAAAAGTAAAGTATATATTACAGAATATATAATGACAACATTTTTTATTCAATTTGATATATTTAGTTCATTGAGTGCCAACTATTACAGCTTTCCATAGTTAATAAGGACTCAACACTTATATAAAAGATAAGATCATGAATCACTCCATCACACACCACTATAACAATCAATGTGTTGAATGTAGCACTAATGCAAGCTATTAAATATTTATATACAATTTCAAACACCTATATTCGTATTTGACTCTGTAAATTTAGTACTTCTACCTTATAGAAGTCACAATATGAACTTATTATAAGTGTGTAGAAAGAAAATTTATATGATTATACATTACCCGCCGTTTGTCTTTAAATGCAACATCCTGTGTCACAGCTTGATTTAGAGGATTAGCAAGTCTCTTGCTTAATCCAATGAGAGCCATCCTAATTTGCTCGACATGTTTGTCTGCAGCTTGTAAATCATCTGTGAGGACTTCTGTTTTACCAGCTCTATAAAAAATGATTATGTTTACTAACATCTTATATATCGGTAAATGGAAATAAAAATACAATTAAAAACTGTGCAAAGTAAATCCATTTTAAGATAGTCTGATTCATAAGTTATTTTGGTATACCAGGTTCGGTGTTATTGGATATGCATTGTTAAAACTTATACATATAAAATTGTATGGCAATGTAGAAGATATTATAAGATATTATTTATTAGATGTTAGGGTACCAAGTTGATTATTCAATTTATTTATATTACATATAGTTGCTAATAGTTCATTCTCTATAGGTACTTTAGACTTTAAGAAAAGACAGGTATCAATGACTTAACAGAAAGTGCATAGAACAAAGACTATAGATCTTGTAGATATTTGTACGAAACTGCAAGTAATTACCTAGAAAACGTTTGATCGGCGAGCTGTTTAACTCTGAAGAACTGTTTCTTCATGATTAATAAGCGTTCATCTAACGCTTATTATGTAAATAAAATAATAGTTCGATCTAGTAGGTGGCTCCTACGAATGTTTGTCACTTGTTTACTTTACTGTTCACAGGTATGCATTTTTAACACGATCATGCGACACTAAAAATACACAGACTTGACAGAAAAAGAAGAGATTCCTCGTATCGCTCCAAAGACGACAATTCGTCATAATGTTTGTACAAAGATCTCACACCCTCTGTGAACGGCTACTATGTCCTGAACCGGTCTATCCTTGCGTAATACCAATGAGTTTCCACTCTCAAAGAACTTTTCAGGATTCAGCGCTACGTTTTTTGAGTTTGTAAACGTGTCAAAACCTCAGAAATTTTAATCACGGCATTGTGCATCCTTGTTCACCGTCAGCTATTGAACACATTTGAAAAACCGAGTAAATAATATCCACGCCTCGCATAATTTTTTCCAGTTGATTTTATCTTTCACAAGTTCACGGTATTTTACTAGCCTTCAGACTTTTATCGAGGCATTCGATAACGGGATAATCAACGAGTTTTTACTGGCCGCAGTCAACCATTTTCATTTCTCTACAAGATTCGTTTTAGAACGAGTAATCGTTTTGAGGGCGGGACATTCAAACCGACGCTTCTTGGCTTCTGTAATATCAACGATGGCAGTGATATCTCTCGAAGCACTTTAAACAATGAATTCAATTATTATACTTTGATAAATTAAATTGTGTTTAGCTTTTTTATTCTTGTATGTATTGGAATAATTGGGATAACCATAGTTAGTTAGCCATAAAAGCAATTACGATAAGTTAATTGAAATTTTATTCAACTTTTCAGTTGTGTGTAATATACACATTGTATATACAGGCTATTTCAAGAATAAAAAATTTACAATTCAACTTAAACATATAGCAACATATATAGGAGTTATTATAAATTTGTAATTAATAGTAAGGGAATTATTCTTATAGTCAAATAACTATACGTTATCATTTCAGTTATTTTTACTTTCTCAGTTAAATTATTTCTATGTTAGTTAGTACTTTAAAAATAACAGAAATGAATAATAATTGAATAAAAAACTTCTAATACATTTATTATTATAAATGCCTAAATGATATGTCTGAAATAGCTTCTTCCATACAGAAGTTTTATGTATTGGAACTAATTTATCTTTGTTCAACTTTGTTTATCTTTTGTTTGTCATTCGAACCTTTTTATCTAGTAAAAATTTGTTCACCTCTGGTAACGTGTATATGCGTTACATCTTAGTGTTTAAATAGCGCGCGCTAGAAGTTGGTTATCGACGAACAACATAGGGTATTTTCGTTCTAAAATATGCAATGATTTCTATACATATATTGAACGTTTTCGTCGAAAGGAATCGCACGATACACTTTCAACCCCGTATACAGATTGGAAGACCTTTAAAAATAGAAAGATGTTTAACTTCCATTTAAAAAACTCAAAGTGACTTCAAAATTCCTTCAACGACTTTATTTAGAAAGAAAGTATCGCCACCATGTTATGTCCTACCTCGAAATCATGCAACATGTTTTTTCTATTATTTAAAATAGAATAGATATCAAGGTGATTTGTTTCCAGTGGGATATGTTGTGTGTTTATGTGCATATGTGTATATAAGTATTTAATTTTACCCACAAATAAAGCAGATAACACATATCGATTTTCGATATTAATTCTATCGCAATGTATCTCATAATCGATGTCTATTTTCTAGGTTTCGACGATGACTTCAAATCATGGAATCCTGTATGTGTAAGAAGTGATAAGAGAGGGAGGGAAGGAGGCATTATGCACTGTTGGCAATTACTATCACTTGATGTTTTTAGTTTTACTTATATAGTTACCATCTGTTCATTGAAAACACACGATTGTGAATAGTGACATACATAAATGTGCGCGCGAAAGACGACACTGTAACGTTCTTATTATTTTTGCCGATAGAAATATATTATTTAACGTACTCATCATGACGATAGATAGGAATATGGTAAATGTGTTAATATTGAGTTGGGGCTTCATGCTGGTATTTACAGCATTTCAGACAATGGGCAATATTGAGGTGAGTGCGAGAACAACACTACACTGATACGAGTTTTTGACAAACAATCCACGTGAAATGTCAGGCACTGATTTTGAATAATTTCGTAGATAAGTAGGGAATCGAGAAATATCGAACACCTGTTCGACAGTTTGTGTGAACACTTAATAATTAAAAATGTTTAAAATGTAAAAGTTTAACTTTTTCTGCTTTTTACCGATCTACGAAATTTTATTCAAATTTTTTCCCGATAAGATACGCATATGATATATTGGTTGGATTCTTTTACGCACATGTCTACATATTTACATATATTACGTGTTTTAATATTAAATGAATTTCAGTGAAAACGAAACAAATTAAGTATACTATTGTATGTATATAATATTTAATTGTGTTGTACATTAATTGTTTATGTATATTGGAAATAAAATTATAAAACATATAAGATAAATATTATCTAAACTTATTATAGTAAACTTTAAGTTTAATATTTTGTTTCAGAATATGTACAAATATCAAAGGAACATCTAAAAAGATAACAAATTTAATAGAAAATACTTTCATATTGAAAATATACTAAACATTCCTTGTTTTAATTAATTTGAACATGTTTCTATAAAATAAATTTGCAGCCATTTAAGATTAAATGAATATTAAAAATTGTTATTCTCTTATAATATTGAGGTGGCTTGTAATTTTTAATCTGCTCCTTGAATTAGTTCATAGCATGTACAGAAATAAGTAGCTATAGACAATAATGATCCTTCGATAGAATTTATAAAAGTATTTCCCAAAACTCCCACTTCCGTGTGAAGGAAAAGGACAAGCTTAAACATTCTAAGAATGTTTTTCAAATTATTGCATATTCATCTAATGCTATATAATCAAACTCAAAGTATATTCTTTATTATCTTTATAATAATGTATGTGATGTTTATGTACAAATATTTTACATTTTTATATCATGTTATTTGGTTGCTTGATAATTAGATACAAGGAATCAAAATGCTTGTAGTAAATCATGAATATTTCAACACCAAGGATGACCTTAGTTGAACAAAGAGTTTATATGTAGTGACTCAAATAGACTAATTATACAATAGATTACAAGAGTTGAATATAAAATACTGTCTCTAACCATGTTGTTATCAATATTGTTTATCCATTAGTGTTTTTAATATTATGGTTTATATACATTGTTTCTGTTGAGTTCCCAAAGAAAACCCAGAAAGTGGGTTGAAACATTTGAAATATATATTACGAATTACTATGCTTTGGATACTCTAATAAACATTACTAAGATGTGTGTTATTAAATGCCTGTAGATAGCATGGTTTATTTGCTGGGCCTGTTGATATGTTGATGTGAAAACTTGTACATCAATGTCACAAACATTATTCTAGAAACAATAAGAAATGTATTTTAAGTTTTGCTTCATTTAATTACAATTATATGGATACAATGGATTTTCAAGATACCATTAAGTTAATCTATGTTATTGTCTATAGTTCATGAAAATTATGTGGTTAGCAAAGTGCTAAGAAAAGTTTATTCTTTATCATACTTAAACAAATCAAAAACTTGGGAAACTGTGTCTTTATTAATCTAATTTATTGTTTAGATTTCCTATTTTTCAACCACTAAAAGCGTGTTTTATAAACAAATATTTAGAAAAAAGCGATCCATTTGGCTATAATGGCATCATCTATAATTTTATAAATTTTTCTTCAGACCCTAGCAATAGATTACAAGAGTTCGTTAAAAAATTTGTTAAAACCAACTATTTTTTTCATATTCATAATATTTGTTTACATCTCTTACAAGGGAATTTACAAAATGAAAAACTGGTACGAACGAATTACACCTGTCTTCTGACATAGATCTATTAAACATTTATGCAAAGTTTTATAAAAATCGGATGTATCAGTTCGCGATGTTCCCTTGTTAGTTATTGCGACATTAAATTAGTTAAATAATTTCGTCCACATTTTTAAAGATAGTTTTCTCCCTTTGTATATGAATATCAATCGATACAAAGAATTCAATGGTCTTTCATTGCTTGTTATTTATGTTTTATCAAAGTTATTTATTTCTCTAATAAACGTGGTTAATTTTTTTATTTACCGTAAACGAATAATTAATATATAATGTAATTTTTGATAAAATCCAGTTAATTAAAATTGGTGACTTACTCACCACTAAAGAGTTATCTATCAATTCTGTTTTCTCAAGTTATATACCTGTCAGATGGTAGCTCTTCGTGCAAAAACAAATCGAAAATATACAACAAAATTTTATTGTATCATCTTCCGTTATCGAGAGAAACAAATTCGAAAATCCTCTCGGACATACATACACTTGACTAGTACAGTTTACAGCAGAGTTGTGTTATGCAGCAATGTGAGAGCATTTTGGACAATTATTCTAATAAAATTAACCTTGAAAAGTAATTATTTTATCTCTATTTACAAACCCATCCTAACCAAATACGATATACATATATCGAAATACGTTATGTCAAGACATAAAATTAAAGATCTATTCCAGATAATGAAACAACTACTGAAATATCAATTACAAAAATACTGAAAGTAGATTTTGTATCGCTTGATATCTATATCACATTGTCAATACATCACAGAACTATTAAAAATATATATTCGTTTCGAATTAATTATTATATAATGAATTCAGTGTCAAATTGTTTTCCTACATGTTTAATAATATGTAATAATTGTGGATGATTGAGTCCTTCGTTGATGATCTCGAGTTCTATATTGTATCTGAAAATATTTGATGTTTAGAATTCTGTTTTTAATTTTTTATCCACTGTGTGTCAACAATAATATAAGTCTTTGTAAACTCTGAATAACGTTTATCATTAGGAATATCGTAAAATAAGAATTAGATTAGATTAGAAAGCGTAGCAGTTGGCTCAACTTTCTTATTCACTAACACTTCGTTGATCTATTTCGGATAAAATTAAACGATCTCTAAAACATTCTTTGAGAAACGACGAAGACAGAGTAATTTTAGACAGGGGAAACTCTTCTCGGAATCTTTGATGTTCGTCTCCCTGTATTTTCAGATTAGGGGTGGTTCTAAACAAATTAAAGAAATGGTTTTCTAATGGCGCCCTGCCCAAGGTGTTTCTGCGTTAATGTGATTTATTGTAATCTTGTTAAGTAATTGCCCTCATACAAAATAATTAATGAGTTATGCCTATAAACAATGCCTACAAAACAACCGAGTGTAAATCACGAAAGAAACTTTTGAAACAATCTTATACATGTTATTAGAAATAGCTTAGAAATGCTTAGAAGCGTAATGGTGCGTAATGGCATGCTCTATCCTAACTGGAGTGTGAACTCCTGTAGGAAGAAGTAGAGGCGACGGAGGTCCGAGAGAAATGCAAAATGGGTGGTTCCTGTATTATCCTATAGCAAATTTATTTGTAGAGGGGGAACAAACGTACGCCGTAACATAACCTACCCGAGCATCGCTGAGCATTACATAGCTGTAATAATTCTATTTTCAAATTCTTTTCCGCATAAAATTGGATAAATACAATATAAATTGAATTGTGACAAATAATCAAATTTAGCTCTGTACCAAATTGTATATACAGAGTGTCCCAGGAAGTGTTCGGAAGGTGATTTCAAACAACTTTTTCCTTAGCGAAAATGTTGTCCGAGACTTCGTTAAGCAGATATTAATAAAAAACACCGACCAATCAGAGCGCGCGTATACCGTTGGAGCGGCCGTGGTAGCGTATGAGCGCGGCCGCCTAACGCATAGCCTACGCTCAACCGGCATACTCGCGTTCTGATTGGTCAGGGGATTTCGCTTAATATCTCCTTAACGAAACCTCGGACAACATTTTCGCTAAGGAAAAAGTTGTTTCAAATCACCTCCCGAACTACCCCTTTCAAGGTGTTACACATTTTTGGGACACCCTGTATTTGTATGATCTAAATTATGGTATGTAAATTATGTATACTATTTCATTATTATGTCATTATTATTAATGTTTCTATCGTTTTATATATAAATAAAAAGGAAATAAAGTTCAAATCTGTACATAATTAATCTGTAAATAATTCCTAGTGCCACGAAATTCAAACAAAGAGGAGTCTGTTCTCCCTCCACACATAAATTTGCTATAGGATAGTACCACTGGAACCACTCATCTTGCATCTCTCTCGGACCGGCTTCTATCTCACAGTTCGCACTCCAGTTAGGATAGAACTCAATGCGTAATGGATGCATTCAGAAAATCAGCGCTTCCTTAGCAGCTTTGTGAGCGCTCACAAAGTGGCTTCGGGAGCGGTGCACTTCTGGATGCATCCAATCTAACAATCATTTTTATTGGGTATTTAATTTAATATTACATTAGATTTCTTCTCTGTGTAGAAAACCGTGCTGCAAAGTATTCGGAACGAAGATCCAAATTTCACCGGCGAGGCTTACACTAGCTTAGCGATAGTTTATGCCGTGTTTGCCTCTTGCAACTGGTTAGCACCGTCTTACATCTCCGTGACAGGACCACGGTTTGCCATACTTACTGGCGCTGTCTGCTACGTCATTTTCATAGCGTCTTTCCTCTGGCCACACAATGCTCTCCTCTACGGCACATCATGTCTTCTAGGTCTCGGTGCCGCTTTAATATGGACAGGACACGGACAATATTTAACCGAGAACAGTAACTCCGAGACGATGTCCAGGAACGCAGGAATATTTTGGGCGATTTTTCAGACCTCGATGTTCATCGGTAACCTTTTCGTCTACTTTATGTTTACCGAGTCCGAAATCGATCGCTCGACGAGAAGAATTGTCTTCGGTGTACTTACCGGTTTATCAATTGGAGGCACATGCGTTCTGGCTGTTCTGAGAAGGATACCTCAGAGGCTAGAATTGGGAGAAGCTGAAGGTGTTTCCAGCGCTGACAAGGAACTTCACATGCCTGAACCGACAAAAGAGAAACCGTTGCTAGTCGCTTGGCATGCGTTCACGGATGCATTTAGTCTCTTCCTCACGTCGAAGATGCTTTTATTGTCTTTGACGTTCGTGTACACTGGTCTCGTATTAACGTTTTATTCGGGGGTCTACTCGTCGTGTATCGGATTCACTACAGCAATGGGTAAACCGCGTAAAGGGTTAGTTGGCCTTTCTGGAATTTTCATTGGAATTGGAGAAGTCTTCGGCGGCGCTCTGTTTGGTATTTTTGCGTCTAAAGTGTCTCGTCTGTTCGGCACATGGACAGTCGTGATCATAGGTTTCTGCGTACATTTGTTTGCCTTTATCACCATATTTTTAAATTTACCGAACGACTCGCCATTTAAGGACACCGACAATTTAGGATATATCCAACCTTCGCCAATTTTAGCAATGGCCGGAAGTCTCGCATTAGGTTTCGGTGATGCTTGCTTTAATACTCAAGTGTACGCGGTACTAGGATCACTGTTTGTAAAAAGGAGCGCTTCAGCTTTTGCACTGTTTAAATTTTGCCAATCGGTGGCAGCTGCGGTAAGTTTTGCTTACAGTAGCGAGGCGAGCCTTTACATACAGCTTCTTATATTGACGATAGCGATCGTTATCGGTACGGTTGCGTTTTGTTTTGTTCAATATCTCATGAAAAAAGAACGAACTGAAACACCGTCGGAAGTCGATCCAACGCTTGTTGCGGATTAAGCAACGAAATTTGCCGATTACGCCGGAAAACAATTTATCAAATACACCTATCCCCGGATTTACACGGAAGATTAGTTCATCAGAACATGATGTCATAAGAATTCACTGAACAAATATGCGCGCGGCGTAAATTTTCGTTTTTGACAGTTTTTATTTTTAAAAAACCGCGAAAAAGCGAAATCGTGTAGAACAAGCACCGCGTAAATCAAGGGTTAGAGTAAAATACTCAATACTATGTAGAATTTACTTCATTCACTAAGGGAGAGGTACTAAAGGTAATATTGTTTAAAATAATGAGAATGTTATTATTGTACATATGTGTATTAAAATAACGAAACGAAAGAGCAATAGAAACTAAAATATTGTCAAACTAATTGTGATATTTGTTCTTCTAAAAAAATATTCCGATATATAATAAATTCAAAATTATAAAGTATAAGGAGCTTTAATATTGCTCAGTATTTGTATGCTCGACGCGTGAAGAAATAGAAAATGCTCGTCTCGTTGTCGAGAAGACATATTTTTATATCTTTTCTACGAAAATATGTATTTTAAGCTCTTCGGTTACGTGAAAGTGTTATATGTTGTTCCAATTTCTTAAAATATAATGTTGATAATGAAATGTGATCGAAACCGAAAGATTAAGTATTATATTACAATAAGTTGACAAAAAACATTAGTGCAATGCAATGTATCATACTGTATCATACTACTTTGAAGAATTGGTCTCAGAAGCGATCCTCCTGAGGGAAATGCAGGCTTTAGTCCTGATGAGTGTTATGGCACTTATGGTCCTGATCATTCCTCTTCAGAGACCAAGTGAGACCAACTCTTACGGAAAGTAAAAGTAGTGCATTCGCTCGAATAGCTCGAAAACGAGGATGGATTAAAGTCCTGATTTTAAGACAAGTGGCCCCCAAACATTACGCCTCGAAATGTTGACTACGATACTTAAATACAAATGCGAACGCAGAGTCGGTTTGACCTATGATGAAATCAATTCCTTACGAGTTCCAACGGGTATTAAAATGTTTCAAAACGTCGTTTATGTTAGATTTTTACACGAATACATTTTTAAGGTATTTCATCAATACTACTCATGGTAACTGAACAGGATGTTTTCGAAAACATAAAATTTACTGATGTTTTAGACTTATCTCCAAGAAATTATGCACAACAAATGTTTAAATATTACTGCTTGTAAAAACAAATTAAATCTTCTTGAACTTCTTTTCCTTTGTTGTATCTTGATACAACTTTCGACCAACGAATAAAAGTTAAAGAACTGTTTATTCGTTATTCGTTAAATAAAAATCAATAAGGATTATGAAAAAAATGGTTATACGTTGGTTATATTTGTTACCTATTGTTTGAATAAAATTTGTAGTTTAGAGGTCTAAGAGATCTTAACCCAACGCTGATAAAGAAATGAAACGAAGACTTCTTAAATAATAGCCATAACAATGTAAATACACATTTGACAATATGTAACTTTGTCTTCTTTCCTAGTCCTGTTTCCAATATAGGGAAAATGTACTGAATCGAAAGGAGATTATGTAAAAAAATAAATATACCGTTTTACAGTCAATCAGTTGATTTTCATTCTTTTTTTGTTTCTCATTTTCAAGATATTCGACCGTGTGCATTACTTTTCAGCCTATTCACGCAAGGACCTCGCAAGTACCCGGGGGTCCGTGAACTCTTTAAAGGCAAAAGAAGCATATTATGCAAACGAAGAATTAAAATGCTTCTAATAGTAAGGTCTTACAGTTTTTAATAACCTTTTGTACACATGTACTTGCTCGAACAAGGATTTTTTCCATTAATTTCATTTAAGTCGAGAGTACAATTTTGCAGCGTCAAACCTAAACGTGCCTCGCTCAGCGTCTACATCACTAAATTTACAATCATCCAGTTTTTTATAAAGTTTTATTAATACCGCTTTGTATTTTTAATATAATCATTATTTTTTTATACAATTTTTGTTAAAAGTAATACAAAATAATAAAATTGTGTAGAAAATATATTCATACTAAATTAGGACAAAAGATCTTTTGCACCAGGAATCAAGAGTGTGTTAATGTTTGATTAACTTGATATGGGCCGGAGTTTTATTAAGTATTGATATACTTAAGAGATAGAGAACGCGTGTTCGCAAGTTTGTCTGAAGAGACGGGAAATAGAGTATCAGAGTAGATAACCGGTATGAGGGGTTACTGCCTCGATAGCTTTCAATGGCCTGCTGAATTTACGTCTACCGTAATCATCGCAATATATTCCAATAGTTTAATCATCTAGTTGACACAAGGATGCTGTTCCTCTCTTGATCCAATGGGATTCGTCAATGTGCGTCGGAAGCATAATGTATAATACAAAATTTGAAGAATGACCGGTTGTTGCCAAAACACCACGTCTTGCGCTTGTCTTATATACAGGACAATGATATACGAGTTTAACAACAAACTCAGTTTTTATACCTGGCTGCAGCCATATTACAGGTAGAACATCAAACATTATTTTTGGTTTTGATTCGTCGATTCGTTTCAATTCTCTATTCCATCGTGCGCCTTCCAAAAATAAACCCTGAAATTTAAAAAGAATATTTTTTACTGCTGTTTATATAATAATTTGTGTTAATATAATATTAAAAAAAAAACTGTTTACATATATTACATTTATCGTGAATATTGCATTTATTGTATTTAATGCGTGGTATTTTTACTTTTCTCGTGGAACTTTGAAACTATATTTTGTTCGCGTCAGCTCTTGTTAAAATAACATTTTCCCACTGATCTAGCTAATTGTACTTCTTTGATGTTTGATAAAACGGAATTAAATAAAAATAAATCAGTGATTTTAAGATGACCACAACTACATATGAAAAATAGTTCATTTTATAAATTTACAATGTTAACAATTTATTTTATTATATTTCATAGATTACAGGATTTGTTGAAATTTTAGTAATATTTGTTGCTTCCCTCGAGAAAAAGCTAATGCTTACTTAAGCTCTTTCTACCAAACATTAAAAAATTAATGTTAAACAATACTGTAAAACACATTACTTATGTTTCAGGTTACAATGTCCCGTCAAAATATATAATTTCTCCTAAAAAATTTGTTGAAAACGTTAAAAGCACCACATATTTATCGTGCTTAAGTTAAGTGAGAAACCTATATAAAGGAAAGTAAAATTGATGCAAAAGATTTTTGTGGGATTTGATTAGATATCTTATCGACCAGATAAACAGGATTATGGAACTGTAAATATTAATATTTTAAATATCTGTTATTGAAGGTAGAAGAAAGTTTTTAAAGATCATCTATTTTTTCTAATGGCTTTGGATTAATGGATAAAATATAGTTATTCTTCATAGTAACATGAAGAACATACCGCAGAAATTACCTTTATATATACTCCATGGGATGGGGCAGTATTAACATTAGTTTCAAATGCAGTTAGCTCGAATTCGAAATCTAATTGGTCAATTGGAATCCTTTGTTTGCGTGCATAGTTTTGTAAAACACCCGTAAGAAAAGATTGAGTAAAAAAGAAGCCAGATATCCAAAACACATTTGGCGCATCATTATCTATCCAATTTTGGAAAAATTCCAGCCTATCTATTAAATCATTAACGTAGCTTCCTAATGGCTTTAACGAGGGATACGATTTTTTATGCCAAGCCTCAGGTACTTTGCCAATACTCATGCTCAAGAATACTTCTTCTAATTCAGGAGACATTAGAACTAAACCCTTGATGGCTTTTTGTACATTTGCTAGAGTATCCTTGATTACTTTAATAAGCTCGTTAAATCTAATAAGTTCTTGTCGAAGGACTGTGTTCATACTATTCATATAAAGTACTGGATACTTCTTGGATACTTCTAAAACATTAAACGCTGGCCGCATTTTTGACGAAATATCATCGCATAAATTAAAGACCACTGCATCAATGTCTTTCTCAACTCCAACTCCAATGATATGCGTTTGAGTCACCAGAGCACCTTCGAGTAATTGCATTGATTCTTGATTATCTTTTGTTATATCTGCGTTTTCATGCAAACCATAAACCTCCGGTAGCTGGTCCATTGGCAAGCTACGAATATATTCTAAACACCCTTGGTGATTTGTACTTGGTGGCATGCGATACGTACAACTTGGTGAAAAACAGTACCTATATTAAACAATATTATTAATATAAAAATTAGAAATTAGATGCTTCAAACACACAAATACATATTTCACTAATTAATGTAGTAGAATTGATTAAAACTTACTCTGGGTTGGTGATAACTTCAGGATTGTAAAATTGTTGAAGCAATGAATTTAACAAACGTCTGTCTTTGTCATCGGTTACACGACCGCCGTAATTGCATTCGCCCGTCAAATAGAGAAGAGCATCAAAAGGTACTTCTTCATACTCATTTAAGAAAAGCTAAAGACATAATTTATTTAATGTTAAAAAAGATATTATTATTTAATAATGTTATAAAAGCTATTTTATGGAATCTACTTAAATATAGAATTATATGCTTTAGTTACATGTATTTAAATATGAATAGCAAACTAATAATTTGTTTGTCGAGTATTACCTGCAATTGTAAAATACTTATGCGCAAGTCTGATTCATTAAATTCATAAGGTATGTTCCAACCTAATGGTCCGAAATTCCGTCTCTCTTGAATGACTGCATGAAAGAAGCATAAAGAAAAAAGGAGGCTTCTCCAAGCAAATATCTTGCTGCAGCTGTTATAGAATGTCGTGTCTGATATTGGATCGTTTAGATAGCTTCTTAATAAATTATTCTTTAACCCCTTCGGAGGCTCGTTGGTCATCTTCACTCCATTTTGCAAAATGGAAATTGGAAAGTCATTCGATGGATAACTGGTCAACCATAATCGGAATTTAAGATGCGTAGTTTCCGGTAAGATAATTTCGTCACAGATTCTATCCAGTTCATTCATCCAGGAAACCGCCAAATGACAATTCTGAAGTACCACCCACTCGCCGCTTGCAATTCCTGTGTTTATCATATTTGCTGCTATAGGGCCCTGGCCTTGTCCAAGTGATATTGTCATGAGATTCTTTTTGGATATTCCGTAATTCTCTGCGAATCTTATTAATCCTGCCATTGGGTCGGACCCAGGTGAAAGAATAAAAATGAGAGGGGTTACATTGCTGGAATCGTTGTAAGACGCTTGAAGATCAAACGTTGGAGGTTCTACGAAAAATTTTCCAATATGATGTATAACGAACATCCGCACAGCAACCACGATTTTGTCCGGCCTTATACACCTGAGTATTACAAGCTTCTTTAGACTTTCGGTTTCCTGCTCAAACGGGTGCGGAAAAGAATTTTCTTGAGGATTCGACAAGTCATAATAGGTCTTCCACTGTGACGTGCGCATCTGAAAGGATTCTTTCAATTTTTCAAGTCCACGCAAGTTGGTAGCTTTAACTACGTCAGACCAAGACCTCTCCGTCAACCAAGACGGGTCAGGATTGGGATATGGATTTTCCAAAGCTACACCGCCTGTTAATAAAAATGTCCAAAGATCTTCGTCTACTTTTGCAGCAGCGCGTAATAAACCAATGCACAAAACGAAAGAAAATATTAGTTTGTCCTTCTCGAATAAAGAACGGCATACATTTCTGTAAATACTAGCGGTAAAATACTCGTTCAAGCTTTTTATTCGACTCGTTAGAACTTTAGACTGTTCGCTATTGGCTATCGCCATTACATAAAGGTGAATGAACCATACTAAAGAATATTGATACATAGGATCGATATTTGTCAATTCGGAAATGCAAAAGAAAAGAACAGAACCATGCTCCGAGACAGGTTTATATCCATTACGAGCGTGATCAATTTCTATCGCTGTTTTAGCAGCTATCTTTTGCTTTGCCTGAATATCTTCTGATAGTATCTTCGAAGTCGATAATATTGTAATCGCCGTTTCATCCTCGAGAATGTTACCTTCTGATGTAGATAAAACCTCCAAAATTTTATTTTCGATTTCTTCTAGTACCTTCCTGTTGTTCGCTTCTTCGACGATCAATTGATTTTTCCGTTCCTCGAGAACAGGTAATTCTTTGGCAACAACGATACCTAATAACTGATCTTCGAGTCCTTGGGGAGTAATCATAAAATTCAGCAACGTCACTTTCACCACTACCTCTGGCAAATAATGTGGATTTCGTAAACGTGTCGTGATATAGAATCGAAAATCGGAATTGTATTCAATGACATTTTCTCCGAATTTCATATACAAAATACCACGTTCCTTGTAGACGTTTTTGAGAAGCACGGGTTCTAATATCG